TTAACCCCTTGCATGCTGCCAGCTACAAGGCAGAGGGGTGGGGGGCAGGGAAGGAGGCACCTAAACCTGCAGTGGCGGGGGTAACCCCTTCCACACCACCAGCCCAAGCTCCTCAGGGGGCAGGGAGACGTAACCCACGCCCCACAGGCCCCAACCTCCACAACAGGGGGCGCCTCTGACGTAGCCAGTCTACAAGGTGCAACCCGCCCCCTCACCTGCACGATTCGGCGCGGCCGCACGGCCAGGGTGGGGAAGTTGCCACGGCCGTGGATGGGCACGGCCTCGCCCAGGATCTGGTCCAGCCGCTGCACCTGCTCCCAGGTGAGAACGCTGAAGCGGCCACCGCGCCGCTCCAAGCCGCCGGGCCCGGGGCCCCCCGCTGCTGCCGACAGCATCGCGACGCTCCTCTGCTGAAGCGGCCGGAAGAGGAGGCGGAAGCGGGAGAGGAAACGAGGCGGAAGTGACGGGGAGGAATCAAAAAACAAACAAAAAAAAGAAGCACAGGAAGACTAAGAACCAACTCTGAGGGGAAACGTCTGCGGAGGAGCAGAGTAAGGTCCGCCCCGGCCACCAGCTGCACGGAACACTGCACCGCCTCAGTGCCCGCGCCGCCTTATATCAACGCCTCGCCGCGCGCCCATTGGCTCGGCCCGCCCACCAATCCCCGGCCCCCCGCCGGCGGCCTCCAGCGCTCCCATTGGCTGCGGTTGGAGAGCTCAGATGCCGCCAGCGCTAATCAGAAGGCGGTGCCGGAAAAGGGGCGGGGCGGAGAGGGAGGGCGTGGAGGAAGTTCGCTCTTTGGTCCCTCCCGCTCGCCGTCGGCTGCCTCGCGCCGTGCGGGAATCCCGGCTTTGATTGGTCAGGGGTAGTGGACGGGACTTTAAAGGGGTACGCACCGGCAAAAGATATGGGGCATGGGCCTGGGATTTAAAGGGATACACAGGGGCAAAAAACACGGGGATTGGGATTTAAAGGGATACGCACCGGCAAAAGACATGGGGCATGGGATTGAAATTTAAAGGGGTACACACGAGCAAAAGATATGGGGATTGGGATTTAAAGGGGTACACACCAGCAAAAGACATGAGGCATGGGATTGGGATTTAAAAGGATATGCACCAGCAAAAGACCTGGGGCACTGGGTATAGGGTATGGGAATGGGGCATGGGGCATGGGCATGGGATTTAAAGGGATACACAACAGCAAAAGACCTGGGGTATGGGGGCATGGGGCATGTGGATGGGCATGGGGTATGGGGCATAGGGTAGTGATCTATCCAGAGTTTAAATCCAGTTGCCTATGCAGGGAGCAGTGAAGCTAGCTGATTTCTCTGGTCCTTTCTAAACCCTCCATACCATAGGTGCCAATGACCCTCTAATTTAGGGGTGGACAATTATTTCGGGCGGAGGGCCACTTACTGAGTTTTGGCAAGCCATCAAGGGCCACATGACAGGCAGCCCAGGGCAGATAAATATTAATTTCTAAATTTTTTAGGGGCCCCGCGGGCTGGATAGAATGGCCTGGCGGGCCACATTTTGCCCACCCCTTCTCTAATCCTTTTAAATGGTCTTTATTGGTGCCACTTCTCCAGCTAGCCCTAGGTCTGCCATGCTGCTGTCTTTTTAGCTGCTCCTTAGTCACCGGAGCTCCTATGGCACACCCTTGCAGACTGCTTTTTAATGCTACCTAAAACCATAAACTCAGGTGTGGAAATACTAACTCAAGGGAACGTCAGCTCAGGTGTGGAAATCGCTTTCAGGGAAGCACAGGAGGCACTGTCCAGATGCTCAAGACAGTTTGCTTTTGTTTTATGAATGTAAAAAAGAGACATGCATTTGGCTGTAATGACTCCAGGACTCATCAGTATGGCCTTTGGTTTTTGCCTAACATGTAAAATCAAAGCAGCCATGGCTCACGAGTGCTGAGCAACAGATTTTTTTCAGTGGGTGCTTGAGCCCCAGAGCACCCACAAAGTCTGCCCCCAAGCCAGGCCTAATCAAACAATATCTTGGGATTATTTGGCCTACCTTGCTGTGTTTTATATATAATACATGATACAGAATATGAATGCACATTCCAATAAAATTTTTATTTTTTTGCTTCAATCTGAAATAGAATACTACAGCTCCGGGCCCCTACTTATTAGTGAAGCTTCTCGTTTCTTTTTAACTAGAGGAAAACGTGTGTTGTGTTCTAGGTGATGATGCACCACACCATCTGCACCCCTCATTTCAAAATCCAGGATCTGCCCATGTCCAGGGGTTTTGTGGAGGTGCTGTGCAGGGTGGAAACGGGGTGCTTTGTGGCAGGGGCTTTGTTGGAGAGGATGGAAAGAGCAATGGGGGAATGGGTTGGGGCAGGCATCTGCATGTGAGGACAGGGGCAGTCCAGACACCAACAACAGACAGGAGTGCTGGTGCTGTCACGGACTTTATCTGCCTCTGTAGGCCCCCATTGTGAACCTAGAGATTTATTTCTCCAGGGAAGAAACTAGGGGAATCACCTACTTCCTCATCCTGCAAAGTCTTAGATCTATGTTGACTTTGCATCCTGCGAACCCTATGAAATGCTCCTATAACCCATCTCTCATCTGGGGCTGGGCATTCCTCAGCCTCTCAGTCCCAGGAACGTATCTCCCTTCAGTATTTCTGTGGTTTGCACTATTTGTAATAATAACAGCTTTCATTTTACAGGATTTGCTAAATGTAGCATGACGTGCTGCTTACTTCAGTTTGTGACACCGAGACCTTTGCATAGCAGCCCTCCCCAGCCAGGAATTTCATGAATAAACCACAGCCTGAGCCATCTGTAGGTCTGGCTGTAGTACGTAAAATGAGCCTTATACTCACAGACTAAAGGAGCTCAATCTATTTTGCTTATTGAGAAAAGGTGAAGAGGTGATTTGACTGCAGTCTATAATTACCACCCCAGGGAAAAGATAGCTGATAGCAGAAGGTTCTTTTATCCGGCAGACAAAGGCGTAGCACATTCCTGTCGTGAGAAGCTGAAGTCAACAAAGTTCAAAATGAAAATAAGGCGCATGTTTTTAAAAGGGGAGTTTTTCGGCCATTGGAACAGATGACCAAAGGACATGGGAAATTCTCCAGCGCTTGGGCTCTGCTCTAAATGGTGTGCTCCAGTTCACACACAGCTCGTTGAGCCAGGTGCAGTGATGCTGCGGTGAAATCTCTGGCCGGTGTATACAGCCAAGTTGAGACTGATTAAATGGCTAGAAAAACACTTTCTGGCCAGAGGGACACAGGACAAAAAGGGGCTTCTTGGGGACCCTGAGCCAGCCACACCCCGTAGTCCCATTCATAAATTTATCAAGCTCCATCTTACAACCTATTAGTTTCCTGTCTCCATTACTCCATGCAGAAGGCTGTTGCAGAGCCTCCCTCCTGTCGTGGTTAGAAATCTTACACTGATTTTCAGCCTAAATGAATTCATGGCCAGTGTACACCCATTTGTTCTGATGTCAGTGCTGTCCTTTAGCCCACACAGCTCTTCTCCCTCCCTGGTACACATGCACGCGGGCACGCACCCTCCCCCTTCTGTGTTTATAGACAGCAATTGTGTCCCTTCTCTGCCTTCCTTTGGCTAGATCAAACAAGGCAAGCTTTTTTAGTCTCCTTTCAAAAGATATCCTCCTCATTCCCCTAATTACCCCCTTTTCTACACCTGTGCCAGGATGAATTCATTTTTCTTGAAGATGGGTAACCACAAGTAAAACCTCTGACTTGGTGAGACTGCTCTGGTGGGTTATATCATAGCTGTTCAAGACTGGCCGAGGCTGGAATTCTTTGAGACAAGTGAATTCTTTGCTACTTTGAGATACCTGGACATACTTCACTTTTAAGTTACATATTAATCCCTTTAAACCTTCCATTAAAAAAAACAACCACTTTTGGCATCCTATGCTCTATTCATTGTTGATCTTGCCAGTGGTTCTGTGAGAGTGATGTCTGTGCCTGGCTGGATCCAGTTGCAACATTGGGACCACAGTCCTTCTACTTAATTTAATTAAATCCTGCAATTACTTAGTTCTAGGCATTAAATGAGCCCCCCTGTAACTAATTAGGACTGCTCATTAGTAACCAAACGAAGCACAAAGGTTTGATTTCTGCTCATTTTAGAACTTAAGGTGCACATATTTTTGTGCGATTCCAGAGCACCTGCAGTTCCAGGAATTGCACTGGAGATACTTTCTAGTAACGAGAAAGGAAGCTCTCCACGTCAAGGAGCTTTCAGTGTAATTTGGACTTTGCCAGAGAGAAGTGATAATTGAGAAGTGAAAGCCCATGGTGCGCAGTGCTACTTGGGCATCTTCCTACTGTGTACTCATGTTCAGGAGCAGTGTCCAGAGCACAGCCAGGCTGTGGGGCAGTGGTGGCAGGAGGGGGCTGGAGGAAGAGAGTATTTCATAGCATATGGTGCACAGGATCCAGGGGGCTGCTCCAGGACAGGGTGCAATATGAGGAATGGCTTGTCCACTGGCAATGCTGCTCTGAGGCACGGTGTGCTGCAGGGTACGGTGCAGCAACACTCCTGGAGGCACCAAAATGTGACCTGTCTCTCCATGCTGCTTTGTATCTCACGTGCACATAACCCCAGCCCCAGGGCAGAGCAGAAACAGCCTGAGGAACAATATGGCTCTCTGTAGGGAGAAGGAGAAAGGACCAGAATGACCCCACCACCACCACCACCATTTCATGGGATCCAGTTGAGATGGAGCAATTGTTTGCTGCCTTACAGACCAGGAGCTCTTGCAGCACTGGAAAGAAGGTGCCGTGTAAACGAGGATCTGCCTTTTGCTTAGTAGCACGTGTGCTCCTGCCAGAGTCCCTCAGGACTACAGGTCGGACTCCTCCCTGGGGTAACTGCATTGCTACACCACAGGGACGTATTTGTCTCCACACATTAAAGTCTGTCCATGGTCACACCTTGCCACCCCTTGCAAGGGTGTAATATGGGGCAGGACTTGGCTCCTGACTGCTCATGCTTCATGGGGTTTTATAGCAAGTTATAAAATCCTCAAACAAAGGTGAGAAGAGTAAAAGGACAAAGTGTCTAAGGAGAATCATGAACTTTCACCCTTTCAGTTCTGCCAAGGACTCAAGGGTCCTGCTTTATCTTCAGTGCTGTTAAGCTGCATGGGTTTCCCTGACAGCCTTCTCTCTCCTGCTATTGCCACTCCACCGAAGTGGTAAAGTGGTTATCTTATGATAAAGAATGGGCGGGTGGCCAACTCTACTGCAGCCTTCCAGACTGTGGATTTATGAAATGCAGCTGTAATCACACACATGCAGGAGCAAGGACAGGTGTGGCTACTGTTCTGGGGAAAGGCTAGGACTGAAAGAGGAGGTATCCTAGCCTGAACTTGGAAACAAGATGCTTATCAGAAAGCTACCGTGGGAGATCTTCAGAACGGAGAAAGGAGAAGAGACGCAGGAAACTTCCTGGCTGTGGGACAAATTGGGGTTTTCCAAAGAGCCCAAGGGAGTTAGGCACCAGCTCCCATAGAACGTCCCTTTGAAAATCTGTCTCAAAGAATTACGAGGAAGATTCGCAAAGGCACCTCAGGTGTTTAGGAGCCCTGATCCCATGGAAAGACACCATGCTCCTAAATTCTTCTGGTGCTTTGGAAGATCTGTGATGTCATCGCTACTAATAACTAGTAATAATTAGTATTGCTGGCCATTTCCATGGTGCAGCAACAATGCAGACACGTGTGCAAAGCATGACAGAATCAGCAGCCTGGGAAAGGGCCAGGCTAAATGTCCATCTGTGCTGCGGCTCCAGGAGGGCAGGGAACCTCCTCACAACGCAATTGTCACCTGAGGTGACCCAAGCTGTGCTGCGCAGCCTAGTGCACATAACAGTGTCCCCCACCCAGTCTGTGCCAGATCCTGCAAGCAGCTCATAAACCGCAGAGAAGCTGGAAGGGACCTCAAGAGGTCATCTTGTCTAACTTAGGATCAAACTTACAACATTGGTGCTACGCTCTAACCACGCTGTAACCAACTGAGCTAAAAAGCTGCTCTACCTGCTTGTAGGATGCTACACTGAGACCTACCTGGGCAGAGGCCCCAAGATTTCTTATGAATCAGCCACGTTCCCATCTCTGCTGCAAAGTAATTGTGCATGTTTGTTTTGAGGCCAAGCTAACGGGTCCCTATCAGAGATCACCGTCCCAGTCACAAGGAGCTGGACACACACGTGCAAGAAAAACAGCCCTTGCTCCACCTGACTCGCAATCAAGACACAGTGCTGCAGACGGATGCTCAAAGCAGGTAGGGGAGGACAAGAAAACAGGGAGGCAGCAGGGATCAGCGCAATACACGGCAGGTGCAGCACAGCACGGCAGAGGCTTAACTCTGGGTGAATGCTGCATCACAGATACGGAGTTTAAGGAGAGATCAGGACGACAGAGAAGTGGCCCCGAGATGTCTCTGCGGAGCTCCTGCCAGCCATAAAGAACGGCGGACGAGGAGAAAGCGCGCTGATCCGATTCACCAGCACCCTGTGCCAGCGTTGGGGGTGGGCTGGGGACAGAGTGAAAGCAGAGGGGAGCGGAGGGGAGGACACGTATCCTGGGGTGAGCGCAGTGGAAAGGGGGCAGACGATGGGGGATGCCAGCTGCCCAAAAGGGCAGAATTCTGCGCCTGCCAATGTGGCTTTTGCTGCCACTGACTCCCACCGCGTCGCTTTGTGCTGAGGCAGACGAAACGTGGGGAGAGGTGATAAGATGCAGGAAGGCAGCTCAGGTGAAGGCAGGCAGGTGTGGTGAGATTCTTCATGAGAACAAGGTGGTGCAGAGTCGTGGAAGAAAAGAAAGTGTCCTGGCGATTACATCAGAGGCGCACATTGCCTTTGGCTTGCGAGAAGGCCGAGGAAGCATGGAAGCCAGGAAGAATAGTGCTGGGCTAAGGAAAGAGCAAGCTGAACGGATAACGTAGCCCCAGAGCTAGTATTTGTCATAGGAGTATTATCTGAGAGAGTCGGATCTGGAAATTCAACAGCAAAATTCAGGTTCTTTTTCCTTCTTGTGTTACCATGCTTGTATCCACCAAGGCGTAAGGGATAACCGTGGGTGCTGCTTTAGTGCACAGATCTCAAGCCTGGAGGTCTCTCTCCCAGTACGAATTGACCAGGGAGACTGCATCAGGACTTGTGGAGTGGCTCGGGAGGCTGCTCGCTGTGCATATTTATAGTAAATATACCAAATCAATACAGCGGAAGCTCAGCACCATGAGCGGGTCCATCACTGCACATCATAACTGTTACCTATGCTGCATCTTCCCCTGCCCGCTCGCGCGTCAGCAAATACAGAGATCCGCTCCCGCGCTAGCTGGTGTGTATGTTCTAGGTCTCGATAAAACCAGCTGTGGGCGGCACCGGGATGGACCTCCACCACCGTCCATGGTGGTGAAAAGTTTAGTGGCCGTGGCTGGCAGCGTTCGGATTTATTAGCCTGGAATTGTGAAAAGCTGCTTGAAAAAAACAGGCAGCAGTCTGCACCCGTGTCCACTGACATCAAGAAGTGCTGAAAGCAGACACACCAGCTTTGCAGCTCCTGGCCTTGCTGGGAAACGGCATGGGATGGAGCCAGGAACATGCCACGGCCTGTTCAAGTTTAGGAAAAGAACAGCGAGGAAGATGAACTGGAACGTGGTTTCCACTGGGGTTTCCAGTAGGGGAGGGGGCAATTTCCAGATACTGCTTGAGGGTGTATAGAAACCCACCAGGAGTTTTCTAGCTGGGCTAAAGGTTTCCTGGGGTGGGGGTTGTTATAAATGTACAGGCAAGCTATGGCTTCTCCTAAGGACTGGGACTGCGGCGGAGAGGACAGGACTAGGAGAAGGTTTAGTTAAAACCAGTCGTCAGCCAAACCATCCAACACCAAGGCTGTCAGGTGCCAGGGGGAGCAGCAGGGAAACCTCCCTTGGTGCCTGGCATGGAGGAGGAGAGGGTGGAACGGGGGGCATTCACTCCATCCCCTGAGACCTGGGCCCTTGCCTCTGTCCCTGCAGGCTCGGAGCTGGGAATAATTGCCCAAGATCAGACATGAGCGCAGACGGCACGCTCTGTATAAACACAGCTGCCACCGTGGTGGTGAATGTGGACTCAAGAGGTGGAGTGCGCTGGTGCTTGTGTTGGAAACCGCCCTTCACAAACTGAGCTCACTCGATAGCTCCTGCTTATTCATAGCAAATGCATATCATGTTTCCAAAAGCATCGCTTCCTTCCTAGCATGGGCATTCCCAGACACGCGGTAGGCCTTGGTGCATGGTATGTGACGTCTCCCACGAGGGCAGATGAAACACTGCGGACGCTGCCGACTGTCTTGCTTCTGACAAATGAAGGCACAGTGCATATGTGGGACCCTCCGCAGAGAGGCAAACGGCACCTGGAGCACAGACATCAGCAGCAAAAGCATTGCTATAAATACTCCCAAGCTGGATTCCTCTCAAATAAAGTAACCAGAAATGCAAGTGATCTCACAGACAATGCAA